TATATATATATATATTGTCTTACAAAAACAGTTCGCGTAGTCTTTTGTGAAAAGAATAAAATTATAAACTTTACAACTCCGTGAGAGTGTCGACCGACGCTCGTAGCCGAGATCTACTGATCACGTCGGTAGACCCTTTACTGGTCCCTACTTCGTCTAATCGAGAGATTATTTCGTCCCTCAGCGCGACGAGTACACGTCTATCTTGACGATTTTGCGGCGGAGCGATCTGTAACGCCTCTTGAACGTCCGATAAAGCGTCTTCCAGGTGGCCTGAGTCGACACGGGCCTTCGCCCTCGCGTAGAACGCCTCGTAGGACACTGGGCGAACTTTCAGAGCCTCGTCAGCGAGCTCGATTGCTTCCGCACATTCCTGCGTCAACAGATACGAAAAAGAAATTCAATCTTCGGAACTTAACTAATCTTGGAACAGCTCAGATTACACTTTTGGTGCACGAGACAATTTTAGAGCAGCTCAGATTAAATTTTGGGGACTCAAAATAATTTTAGAGCAGCTCGGGTTACATTTTTGGGGCTCAAACTATTTTAGAGCAGCTAAGATTAAACTTTTGGAGCTAAAATTAATTTCAAAGCAGCTCAGATTACATTTTTGTAACTCAAAACAATTTTGAAGCAATTCAGATTAAATTATTTAGAGTTTAATACATTCACTGCCACTCAACTTTTCGATCAATTTCGATCGACACACTGTCGACGATGGCACATGGAACAAGTGACTCTGTGTCGACGATGCTTCGACGTTGACAGCGAACGTGTTGAAACAACATTGGAACAGCACCGATTAAATTGTTCGGAGCTCGAAAGAATCTTCAAGTAGCACAGATTGAACTCTAAAGTAATCGATGCATCGTCCCGAATAAACGAAAGGGCAAAGAGACAAAGAGTTGAACGAACGGTCACTCACATTCATCTTGCGCTTGCATCGACTGAGATTGAGCAAGAAATTCAGCCGTAGTTGCGCAAACGTCTGCAGTTGCAGCATCATATGACCCTGCTCCTGTCCCTGACAGTCCTCTTCCGGCGACGCGGGGAATTTTCTGAGCGCGTACGCGTACCTGTGCGACGCCTCCTTCAGCCTATTCTTCCTGTACAACACGTTCCCGTCTTCCAATAATTTATTCAACAGTATCAAGAGAACGTCCGGTTTCCCAGCCGCCATCGCCCATGTGGCAGGACCTAATTTCGCCCCGCGGCGCAGGAAACACTGTACCACCGGTATGTTTCGACATCCGATCGCTCTGTCCAAAGGTCGCATTCCATGCAGATCGACGTGCTCGACCGCTGCTCCCTTCTCCAGCAACAATTGCACCAGCTTTGGATTGCCCTGGGAAAATATTGACCGGTTCGATCGTGCCACTGTGTGGTCTTTGAACGGTGTACCAGGTACAATCATCGACGAAGAAAAAGCGATAAATCTCAAGTGTACACCATGCAGAGAATCGTAAAGTAAAGCATGGATTAATGGAATGATAGCAGGGGTTGTAATAGAGACTGAATTAGAGTATAATTTAGCCAATTTTCTCGAACAATTCCCTTTAAACAATTATCTAATTTCACGATCTTGCTATATCTCTTCCAACGACTGTACCAAATCACGTAATTACAGTTCTTTAACATTCATACCTGGAAGGCAGCTAGATCCAAAGGAGTTCTGCCAGTGTTATCGTTGGTATTAACATCAGCCCCATGATCTATGAGATTCTGTACAGCAGTTAGCCTCCCTCTCACGCAGGCCCAGCATAGAGCAGTCATTCCCTCTTTGTCTCTGCTCTCTAATACTGATCCTTTGTCCAGGAATAATTCTATCAGGCTTGTGTGCCCCTCTGAAGCAGCTAGCATTAACGCACTTCGTCCGCCTGGGTCTCTGTGATCTAGCAGAGATACTGTATCGTCCAGAATAGTGTCAGTGCTACTTGACAGGGTTCCTGTAATTATGTAAATTCCCAAATGATAATTTCTAATCTTTTCAATCATTCGTCCAAAACAGGTTTACAATACCAACCCTGTAGAAGCCTCTCAGCAGTTCCCCAATGTCCCTCCCTCGCAGCAAGCATCAAAGGAGACAGTCCTTTCGCGTTCACAGCCTTTGGACTAGCTCCACGAGCCAACAAAGCGGAAACAGTGGCTGTGGAACCATTTGCAGAGGCAATAGTCAGTGCAGTCTCTCCTATCAAAGTGTCAGGACGATCCACGATCACTTCAGACATGTCTAATAAATATTCCACGATGGACTCGTGACCCTGAGCTGAAGCTGCGACCACAGCTTGCTGGGCAGCCTCTTCCCTCCCTATATCCTGGTTTCCCTCTGTCTCGTTTTCGTTGGTTGGGATCACCCAATCGCAGGCTAACAGGTAGCCAACTACCGACAGTCTTCCGTGTCTTGCCGCGTGGACCAAGGGACACTGGCCAGCCATGTCTGTGTGGCCCAAGGATGCTCCAGCAGCAGCCAACCTAGAGTGACGATTCTTTCAAAATTCTTGTCAAATGTAACGACGAAAGACACTCTCCAAAAAATTTCAAAATAGAATTTGTTGAAATAGTTTCAAATAAATCTTCAAATTTACCGAATTCATCGTTTCCTCACCTTCTGACGACGTCACAGTGGCCACGAGCAGCGGCCAACGAGAGCGCGGTGCATCCTTGACTGTTCGTCAGCTCGACATCCGCTCCAAACTCCAACAAAAGCGACACCATCTCGACAGAACCCTCGTGAGCGTACATACAAAGAGCCGGTGCATTTCCTAGATACTCGGTGATGTGATTCGGTGATGCTCCTGCCAGCAAAAGCAACCTAGACACCTTCACGTTCGGACTGTAGATGTTTCTCAAGGTGCACAACGCCGAGGACACGCATTCGGTGGACGATGCTAACCAGATGGCCTGTCGAAGCAATGAAATATTTCGTAATCTCTATCTCCGTTGTACGAGAAACACGTTGTTTCATCTGAAGGATGCAAATGAGGGAGAGAACAGGTGGTTACCTGTAGATCACGTGAAGGCCAACACGGAGCAACGCCTCTGTAGACGTGAGCCTTCAGTATATGATGACCCAATTCGAGGGCCTTATCACCGTCTAACGGTGCTTGCAGCCTGGACAGCCTGTACGCGATGGCCGCATGACCTAAACGTAGATCGCAGAGGAACTTTGTCGACTCCCCTTCATCCCTTCTCATCAACCACTCCCTGAACGACGGGTGGAAGAACATGTACGTGTTGTCCAGCCGTTTCACGAGGAATCCAGAGAGCATCTGATTGGTAAGACGGAACATGTGGTACATTAAATGGGCGGATTTGAATTATGAAAGAGAGCGTAGAGGCGAAAAGGGAACGTTCGATTGAGAGACTTACGTGGTCCACTCGAGGGCAGCGATAGGGAACAACGAATCGATTAGATATCGAGTAACGCAGAGTGTATGAAGTGTACACTTTAAAATAGGTTTGGGTGCCTATGGTCGTTCTTAGGGTTCTTCAAAACCAACTCGATCGAGATTTACTTGAAATAGTACACTCACTTTGAATCTCTGTAGAAAATCCTCCCACGAAACAAAGTGGTCCGTGTTCAGGGAGTTGACCGAGTAAAAGATTTCCGGTAAAGTGAGCGGATAGAGAGCAGCCAAACAAACACCTAACAGAGGTTGGACCTTGTCGAACGAAGTGGCTGTCGGGAATCTGAGGTTGAAGTGTAACTGGAAGATCTGAGCTAGCGAGACTGGCAGAACCTGGAACATCAATGGATACATGTTGATAAAGAAGAAAAAAATATGTATCACTTTATCTGTCGTGAAAGTTAGATACACGGTGAGATAGGAGAGCATGCTCACCTTGTAGCTGGCGGATTTAGCGACCAAGTGTCCGCTCTCGATAAGATCGAGCGTCAGCTTCGCGAAGAGAAAGCTGCCTCTAGCTAACGCGAGCAGATGCGAGGCAAATCTCGTCTGATTCGCACTGCACGACGATTCAGCCTTTCCATTTATCGACGCTGTCACGTTTGTCTGAATCGCTGGACTTTGGGACAGCCTGTAGCCTATGTAGTCTGATAAGTCTCTCGTCACGTTGTTCCCTGTATTGTCGTTGGGAGCTTTGTCTAAGGAGACTCTGGTGTAGGGTAGCTGTTTGCCGCATTCCAACAGTTGAGTTCTCACTGTGCACACGATTTTCAACCAACTGGGGAAGTTTGGCGCGTGCCTCGTGAGAAAGGAAGCTATGGTGTCGCCTCTGTCTGGCCTGTGGTACTCTGCCTCGCAGACGGCGTCGATTAGGATCACCTGGTGATGGAAAACAAGCGTAAACACATTTCACTGAACGTGGAATCTGTTAAATATCAAGATTGATGGACTGAAATTTTTTTTTGAGAGAATCGATCTTCTCTTACCATATTGGTGTCGGGCAGTCTGTTAGTCTTCTTCAACGTGGACAGAGGTTCGATGATGCCTCTAGAGAGAGCAAGATCTGGATCCACTGTGCACTCTCTCTGCGACAATGAACCTTGAATATGAGGTTCAGAGAGCAGATACTCCCTGTAGGAGATCAGTTGAGGAGCTTGGCACAATTGAGCGGCTAACGAGTGAATTAGGTCTGGTACCAGACAGGTACTGTTGTTATCTGCTTGGCAGAAGTGGTATGCTACTACATGGGACGCTAGTTCTCTAATCTGGAATCGTTCAACAATTTTTGATTTTTTAAGTAACCTTCAAAAGATGATGTTGAATATTTTAGAAGATATTTACGTACCTTCTCGTTGGTATAACGAATACTGGCGTGCAACGCTGAGGTGCAACTGATCTTCTCCTTCTCTTCACCCTCTTCGCTGATTTCAGACGGAAGTGGCTGCTCTCTTCTCCTTCCGAAGCAACTATGTTCCACTAATTGCAGAACTAGAGCAGTCTTCCCGGTTCCAGGCGATCCAGAGATCAAAACTCCGGGGCTAGAACCGTTTACCACTGATTCTAGCTCTTGGAGTAACCATTGACGACCGGTGAACAGGGGATCGGTTTCTAGTAGAGGTACTTCGAAGAACAGGGGCTTGAGGGTGAGCTGCGTTGCGTGGTGTTGCACGAAGCGTACTAAAATAGCAAGAATTTTTATCATATTAACTTCCTTTCTGACTGACAAAATATTCGTTAACCGTTCAGTGTTAAAATACGAGCTCTGAATTGTAGAAAAATAAGTCAAAGAGTAGAAATTCCACGAACTATCGCGTACCAAAGGTCTCACACGCGACACAGAAATTATTAATCAATTGAGATGACTCGTAAAGGTTGTACTCTATGGAAATCGAAAAACTTCCACTCAGAAAACTAATAAAATTTACATTTCGTATCGGCGGCTCCCTTGACGTTCCCAGCCCTGGCGGACCTCCTAGCGCAGGATCGTCTGTTCTTAAATTGCCCTAACTCGTCGCTCTGGCCAGGCTGCGAGGCGTTCACGGAATGTCTTCTAGGAGTTAAAGGACTCGAGCTGCCGTTCGACAAGCCCGAAACCGACACCGACATGGACATGGACATAGACGTAGATGCGGACACGGACGTAGAAATGGAAGCGAGGCTTCCAGCACTATCACAATCCCTAGATTTACTCTTCCCCTTCACCTTGGCCTTAGGTTTGATAGGACACCTCAACGCAGCCGCAGCCTCAGCTTCGCTGGATGTGCCGGTCAACGTGGAAACCGGACTGGTGTTCGTCGAGGCTAAAGTTTGCGTCTCGAAGCTTGTCAAACTGCTGAACGAGGCTGCCGAACTATCGTGGCCTTGAATAGGTTCTCTAGACTGGCATGCACCTGCACTCGAACGACCTGGAGCACCAGGTAGATCCGTGGTGTCCACGTTACTGCTCGCACGAGCGTGATTAGAACCTAGAAGGAGGCCTAGCCTCATATGGAGATCCGACTGTGAAGATTTCCTCGTCTTCGATGACAATGGTTTCACGCAACCACCTTCGTCATCTGTGAAAAGAAGAGAAAAAAAGGTTGAATTAAATAAGACGAAATTGTTTCCTCGATCAGGCCATGGAGTGTCGCAAATGTTTAGAATAATTCATATAAAATGAATATCGTCAACTGAAAAATTTTGAACGTCACAGCTAACTAGACAATATTTCAAATATTTTTGAAATAATAATAAAGTGTAATAAGCATAATATAATATGCTGAGAGTAATGAAAATTCTCTTGTGGCCTCCTGAGAGCAATATGCAAATCTGTCGTGGCGGTTAACGTGTTAATGAATGGATGCATAGATTTAGGAGTCACACAGAGGAACACGTGTATATTTTGCAAGATGCAGGGTACACTAAACATATTCATTTTATCATGAAGGATAAGTCTGGCCACCTTTCACAAGTCTCCTGGCTGAAAGGGTAAGATCGTGCTAGAAAACACACCACGCTGTGTAGCTTCGATAAATCTATGGAGCATGCTTCGATCTAATACTCTACTAAAAGTGTGAATGGGTAGAGGATGGTGCTCTAGCGATACACAAACGAGACATATATCTACTAGATAGGAATGAGATGAAAGAGAAGGTGTATTTGCTCGGATAAATTGGTCTACGGTGAGATCTAAGAACACACGAGGATGCACACTCGATTCTAAAAGTGTCTCTCCCTGCCTGTGACTTTGATGGTCGAGTCGATCAGCTGGTTCAGACCATCGTTCGTCGTCCCTTGACTGTTGCTCCACAACGATTTGATTTTCCCCAGCACTACACCCGGCCATCTTGACTTCCCCTCCCAAGACGAGGCCATCCAGGCTACACGCGTGCGTTTTACGATTATTAATTAGTGGAAGCTACCTCATGACTTTCTTTACACGGTGCATCATCTTGGTAAATGTGAAGCTTAACCGATAGAATGTTGAATTTTACCTGATAAGGCTGAAGGATTGTCGTTTGTAACCGGTTCCGGAGAAGATGCACCTCGTCTGGACGATCTTTGAGGCACGAACGAACTCCTGAGGACCTTCGGGTTCAGGAAGAACCTCTTCCTTTGATTAGGCGGGGTTGGACAACCTGCGAGGTTCATTTTATATTACAGTTTCGACGAATTACGTTTTTTTTATTGGATGATCGAAGAGGGATCGATGGTTTACGTACTCTGCGTCATCATTTGAAGCTTCTGTCGGCCGTGGGACGAGGAAGAGTCTGGGAGAGCCGGTGGTTTGTTCTTCAGACCCTTGACCATTCCCGCGGAGAAGATACTTTCGTCCGTGTCTCGCTGCTGGACGAAGAAAAAGGAGAAATTGAAGAGTTGGAGTAGATCCAGGAGTTGAAAGTTCCGTAAAACATCCCAGAATATATTTTAACATTTTTGCGACCATTCGAGAACTCCGACAAAAATCGGTCTCGATAGCGGGATAAATAGAAGATACTTGAAAAAAAATACTTCGATCAAGAAGATCGATACTTTCTAAACGTTCTAACAGCCGTTCCCTCGAATCCCCGCGTTTACTAAAGCACAATCAATCAGAGAGTGGAACAAGGATCCCGTGGAAACAATGGTTCTGCAAATGTCCTAGGCATTCCAACGTTCGAAGAGAGGCACACGAGCCTCTACTTGTATTCCGTGTGTAAGAAAGTGTTACTCGAGTTGACGATGATGACGCTTACGTGCATGACTCGTGACGGAAGATTGGCTCTCGTGGTGACTTTCGTACGAGGTCTGGGGCTGCCGCAGAGAGAGTTCACCGTTGATGACTCATCGATCCAGCCATCCGTGGGCGCGAGGATGGACATGGGGCCAGAGGAGCCGGTGAACCCCTCCCTGAAGGGTCCCTCGAGGCCGTCGTCGTCGTTGAAGTCGGTTCGGAGGCACAGAGGACATGCCTCGCTGCGAAACAGGCAGGAATAGCAACGCTCGTGGCCACACGAATCGATCAGCCGCCGTTTCTTCCCTTTATCGAACGGCATCTCGCACGAGGGACACGTCGAGCCACCCAGCATTCCCGTGGACTCCACCAGCGCCCTGATTTGCGCCAGATCTGCAACAGATATTCGATCGTTTCACATGGAGAATGGTAATGGAATTACCGAGTTGTATTAAGAATGAATTTCTTGTCATTTTCTATGAATTTTGGCGAAGTTTGACATAGGGCAATGTGGAGCACTCAATTTAGGAACATTTTCAATGTCCCTTTGATCGTGTCTGATAAAAATTTGAGGAGTAAGTTTGCCATTTTTCAGGCAGTTTGATAGAGCGTGACGTGGAATATTCTTAGTACTGTGTTAATCGCATTTAACCAACATTTGCTAAGAGAATCTTTCGTTTCCCATGAATTTTGGTACACCTGGCGTCCTAGTAATCGTATCTAATCAAAATTTGCCAAGTAAACTCGCGATCTTTCATGAATTTTGATAAGGCTTGTTATAGTGTAACGTGGAATATTCGCAGTGCTCTATTAATCATATTTAACCAACATTCGCCAAGAGAATTCGTCATTTCCTATGAATTTTAATATCCCTAGTATCCAATTAATCGTACCCGATCAAAATTTGCCGAGTAAATTTACCATTTTCCATGAAATTTGACAAGGTTTCATACAGTGTGAGGTAGAACCTCGTGGAACATTCCCAATACTCTATTAATTATATATAAACGAAATTTGCCAATAAAGTTGATCATTTCCCTTGAATTCTAGCATCCCTAATACCTCGTTAATCATATCTAATCGATATTTGCCAAGCAAATTTACCATTTTCCACGAAGTTTGTGACACAAAAGGCTCGCAGAGCATTCCGAATACCGTACTAATGGTATCTAACCGGCATTTACGAAGAAACTTGAGCATCAATGGAAGGATCACCCCGGTATACCAATCAGCGTGGCATTTAATGGCCCCGTACCGGTCGCATCCTCGCCCGGAGCCGTTCAATTACACAAAGCGATCGCAAGCGGTACCGCCCACGTCTTAACTGGCTCAACTGTTCACCGTGCTCCTATTAATCGTGCAATTTGCATAGCTCGCCTCATTCATCCGTGCTACTCTCTAACGTACGTTGAACCACTTCCAACGATTCACCGTTGTCATTCTTATCGGCTGCACACACACACTTTGTACTTCGTAAAGAAACAACTCATCCACGACGACATAATTTTGCAACAGTCGTGGAAAGGATCCCCATTAGCTCGACACAGCCATAAATTTCCCCCCTTTGGTGGATGACGAACGGTACACACAAACGAGCAATGGTTAGAATCGATCGAGCACGGGAAGAAGATCAGAAATAGAAGCGCCAGCACAGGTTCTCCGTGCAATGTACGCGAAAGAACGAGTGAGACAGAGATATAGAGATAGAGATAGAACACGTGAGGAGGTCTCCTCTTGACCTCACTTTCTAGAATCCTTTAAGTATATGGCGCCTTCTTCGACCACGGCTCGTTTATCCATTATCGATGAACGAACGCCGCTTCCCTGACACACGACGTGTCTCTACTAACCGAGATACCGTGTGGCTTCGTACAGATTGTTCGTGACAGATGGTCCTGGCTGTCAAATCGAACGATTCGCGATCCTCGTCTAGAAGTGGAACGTATGGACACGTTTTCGGTATACATATACCGGGTGGCCTGGTTTTTTCCGATCAAACTTCGCCAGTGCCTTCTGTGGGTGTAGGTGAGGAGAAAGTGTTATATACACATTTGTTGTTTGAAGCTTCGTTAAGAAGTTGTGACGGAATTAGTATGACACGAGACAAAAATGGCGCCGGCAAAAGTTACGTTCATACTTTCAATCACCTTATATCGCAAACACAGATTGTAAAGGCAGACTAGGTATTTCTAACATCTTTTTCTTTCTTATGACCGTGGAATATATCGACAAAGTTCGATCGGAAATAAATGCGACACCCGGTGTACACGTATCACGCGAATATCGCGATTTTTACCCTTTTCCGCTGAAAAATGGTCAATCGTGCGTTTTACAGTCGACAGAATATATGGACAAAGTTCGATCGGAAATAAATGCGACACCCGGTGTACACGTATCACGCGAATATCGCGATTTTTACCCTTCTCCCGCTGAAAAATGGTCAATCGATCGTTTTACAGTTTCGCGAACAGTCTTCCTAATGCACGGACAATTATCCAAAAAGACAGTAAGTCGTTTGACGTTTTAATTTCACGACTTCGCCGTACTTGTTCCATAGACTACGTATTTACCGAGGTTACTCTTCAATTACATCAAAGTGTTCCCTTTTACGAGAACACGAACGCTATACTTATACGAGACAGTAGCGTCTGAAACACTGCTATTCAGTTCGAATCCCATGGAAGAAACCTCGCATTAAACCGACCAGTAGATCGTGTCGAAGCGTGATTTCGCGCGAGAGGAGCTTGACGAAGGACGAGAAAAGGAAGTAATTTGGGTCGCCTCGACCCTTTATCCCGGTAAGTGAGCAGTCGAGGCAGGTGCAACACTCTGGTGTGCCTGGGTTACCGTAAGCTGGGTCAACGCACCCGACTGCGGAGAGAAGAGCACGGTTCCACGGTGAACTCGTACAACGATGTCGTTTTCTCCAGGACAGCGTCACTGATTCAACGCGTTTCCGCCGCGCGTGTATCCAGTTTCCATCTTCTCCGCATCGGCAGTTCCATGTCGAGAGTTATGCTCGCTAGAGGAAGCTCGAGAGCCACGGCGAAGATGTCGAAGGTCGAGGAAACGTCCATAAGGTGTACACACACACACACAGGTTAACACAGAGACGCGGTTTTTCTTTTTCTTTCGTTACGGTGATTCGAGTTTCTTTCCATCCCGCATCGGTATATCTAATTAATGGTGATCTAGTGACTTGTTAATTGCGTGGAATACCTGCAGGTGAGTGTACAGCGTTACACAACTCGATAAAACAGACTTTCCCTCGTGGATTTGTATATTACAACAAAATACTGTCGTGGTGTACCGTCGAGAATATAATTTTAATAAAAATAAAGGATTCTTCTGATATTTTAAATTCGAGGGTT